TATAATATACATATATATGTAATTATATAATAACAGTAAAATATTATTAAATATCGAATTTTATTCGGTCATTCATGTGAAAATACAACTAATAGGAATAAATATCTTTGATGATCTAGCTGGATCTTAAGGCGCGTGGGAAATGAGGTAAGCGCTCCGCTCACCGTCGCGAGCCTCTAAGCTCGAACAACTCGCGCGCTGTGCGCTCGGTGGGCCGTACCTTCGGCAATAGTAAATCGGACAAACGTGCGTATTCGGCTATCTTTAAACGTTAATATCTCGTTAATTATTGCGAGCATTGCAAAATAGTACAAGACTTTTCAACTTAGTTTAGTCCGCTCTATCTGCTCGGAACGAGTGGAGCCGTACAATCCAGCCACCCTGTGTATGGTATGTATATATATATATATATATATATATATATATATAAAATTATTATTATTAAAATTTTATGTTACATTTATACTATTCTAAGGAATGCGCTTAAAATATTACTTAATATTAAATAATATTATATGCTTGAAGGAAAGAAGAGAAGGAGAAAGAAAGAGAAAAGAGGGGGGAGGGGGAGAAAGAAAAAAGAAGGAGAAAAAGAAATGGAGGAAGTGGAATAGGAAGAAAGAAAAGAGGATGAGACGAAAGGAGAAAAGGACATAATCGACTGTGAAATAAGAATTTAATGATGGAGACATGCATATTGCAGTTTCTTTCGGAAAGAATAAACACTTTTGAAGGAATAGCGCGCTATTTATGCCAGTGTAAAAAATTTTGCATGCATGAATATGTATAAATATGTTTATAAACATACATAAATATTTATAAACAAATATATAAAATAAGGTTTGAAAGAATCTATCAGTAAAAGAAGATCAGAGCCTACATCAGCTGTTCGGATGCACAGAAAATTCTTTATTTTCATATAAATGTAACAAAACGAATAAAATAAACGTTTCGATCCTTTAATTCGGGTCCTTATCAATACAAAATATAAATCAAAATTATATAAGTAACGCAAATTCCAAGTTGATGATTCCCGACAATATAGTTCGTTCTTCTCTAAGTGTCAAATTAGCTATATAATGAATAGCCTAATAATTATCAAAAATATTAACTTATACAATAATAATATAAAAACTTACATTTGATAATCATTGAGCTATTCATTATATAGCTAATTTGGTATTTGGATAAAAAAGAGCGAACTAAATTGTCGGGAATCATCAACTTGGAATTTGCATTACTTATGTAATTTCGATTTATATTTTATATTGATAAGGACCCGAATTGAAGGGTCAAAACGTTTATTTTATTCGTTTTGTTACATTCACACGAAAATAAAGAATCTTCTGTGCATCCGAACAGCTGACATAGGCTCTGATGCTTTTTTACTTTTTTCACTGATAAATATTTATAAACATGTAGAAACATATATAAATATTTATAAACATGTATAATTGTATATGAAATATGTCCATACATGTTCATACATTCCTCTTTCTTTTGTAAAATTTCTTTTTAGTGTAATAAAAATAATAATAGTAATGTAAAAACATTGAAAATAATTAAAAGGGTAATTTTTATACTATTTGTTTTAGAAAAAATCAAGTTTAAAAGAAATATAAAATATAAGTTAAAGAAATATAAAAAAATTACTTATGTATAATTATATATAAAATTATGCATAATTGTATATAAGAGAGCAATTATGTATAATTGTGTGTATCCAGGTCTTTATTTATGTATGTTTATATATTCATGCATACAAAATTTTTACCGGATATGTTGTTTAAACTTACAGCATCCTGAGCTATTCTATTTACTTAACTATGTAAGTCATCTCTTTTCTACCTTTTTATAGTAATTTTTTTAAATGATCGTGTATTAAATACAAAGTATTTGCGTAATAATAGTTATGTAACTGAACACGTGTATCGATATGATATATGTTGAATGTATCTTGAAGATCGATTTATTGATTGTTAATGATAAAGATGCGGTACAATCACTAAAATATAATTATATTAGGACAAGCGCGCTCTTATGTCGCCTTCGTTAAGAATGATTTGAGGGAGAGCGTCCCAAGGTATGTTTACCCTTTTCTAACTTATACTCAATTTTAATTGCACATGTGTAGCACGGTATTGTCCATATGCAATCATAACTAAGTATAAGTTAGAAAAAGACAAAAATATTTGAAACACTCTTTGTCGGATCGCGAAACTAGCGCTAGCGTTTGTTCCAGTAGTAGTATGATTCAGTGGGCACAATCCGCGCGATTCTTTCGTGGCTTACGAGAAGTATTGATTAAAACGTAAGAAAATACACTCACACTCTCTGAAAAAAATACAAATAAAAGAAATGTGTAAATGAAGAAATCTTGAGAACACTGCAAAGAAACAAAGTATGTTGTGTTTGTGTAAAGTCACATCACAAATTTTTATGTGCAAAACGTAAACGCAATAAAAGAACAATCAGCGTGATAAACAAGTATCGAACTTCACGAAAAATCTATTTCTGATAAACTTAGAATGCATCATGGCATAAACAAATGATTTTTGTATAAATAATTTGATAATAATTATTGATTCGATAACAATTTTAAGAATAATGAATTTAGAAATTTAAAGAATTTACAGTATTTTTCATCGTATTCACATATTAACATAATTTGTGATCGTTTCATAATCTTTTACGCATTTGCGATGCGTAAGATAATATTAAAAATCAGTCATATGATGAATAAGATTCCAATGTTTAATATATATGTTAACCTAGCATATATCTCATTCTCTTTTCGAGATATAAAATCATTTTCTCATCGCAATCTTCTTGTGAATTATATCTTCGATGAAATTAGAGAGACGATTGTGCAAAACTCTAATTTTATGAGTTAAATTTAATATAAAGTTTTGTGGAATTTATATTAGAGCTTTAAGTAAAGTTTATAGAGCTTGTTCTCATCCATTGAAAGAAAAAATTGTTCCTTTCATTAAGATTATATTGTCAATACTGATTAATCTTATCTAATATCAGTAATATTATCGCGTAATACTCATCTATTTTCTTGTCACAAAATCATAAAGCCGCAGCATAGACTTTTGCATAACGCTTAACGCACAATACATAAGAGAATCAACCAATCAGATTTCTTTTTTTCCTTCCATTTCACGAAAAAGAAAAACTTTGATTGGTTGATTCTTTCATGCCTATGCATTATGTTTTATGTAAAAGTTTGTAGTGCGATCTATAACTTGTAGACATTAGCTAATGTCAGATGTCTTTCTAAATTTCAATTTATTTGCACGAATGCATTTATATTCTGAAAAAAAATGATGATTAATATTATATTTTCATTCACTTGTTAATATTAGCAAAGAAAGATTAATAATTCTTTTGTAAAATACAATTTAATTTGTTTATCCAATAAGAAAAATTAATTGTTCATTATAAGGATCGGTTTAAAATATTTTAATGTTCCGAAATATTTATATGTATCATAAATATAATTAACTGCACTGTATGTAGTATGTATATGTGTGCGCGTGTATAATTTTAGATGAATATAATTGATAATCTGAAAGGTTTATACCTCCCCTCCTTTAGAAGAGAGAGAGAGAGAGGAGGGGTGGAGAGGGAGAGGGAGAGAGGGAGGGGGAGGGAGAGGGAGAGAGAGAGAGAGAGAGGGAGAGAGGGGGGAGAGAGAGAGCGGAGAGGGAGAGAGAGCATTTTATTATAATCGATAATTTACTTTTAAACCGATCCCAAATATATTTGTCTAAAAATGATTTATAATAATATTTATGTCAAGTTACATCATTTTGCGTTAATTATGCAAAAAAGACAATATACGCTTCATTCAAATTCGTATCGCATCTGAATATCTACGATATAAAAATGCAATGCGTCTTACTTATGCGTCATACATATGTAATGAATAAAATGATTCAAAATATATCAATCAGTAAAGTACCTGGGTAACGGGATTCTCGCCCGGACGATAAACAACGTTGTGCATCGGCCGTTTGCGACCAACATAATTCACGCAGACGAATTCGAGAAGACTCGCGTAGATGAAACACATGCATACCCCGTCCCATACGTTCATGGCAGTCAAGTTTGAAACGACAGGTAGCGTTCCCCGGAAGCCATTTGACGTGGTGAAAAAGTTGAGCATCGTTGTTACACCTAAAATAATTGGAAGCAGGAATTTTTCATGTCAGAATAAACTATATATCTATTGTGATTAAAGTGCAAAACATTTAAGAAATTAAAGAACTTTAAAAAAAAGTTAAAAATTGTTTTTTATTACTAGATAATTTTTTTTATTACAGTTATAAAATTGAAATTGGTATAGATAAATAGTTGTAAGTAAATCGTAAATATTGCAAAATTTTTATCTCTTAAAATATTGAATACAATTCTCTCAAAACATTATTTTTAGAAATGGTATCTTCAATATTTTAAACATCATTTATTTGATTAATTTGAAAGTAATACTCTTCATACAAAAATTTATATTGATAGAAACGCTTTTTTATAGACACTTTTTTACTTTCAACTTTTTTCTTAAATTATAATAAAACAAAAATTTTATTTTTTAGGAAAATGCAACTTTTTTTTATGTAGATATGTCTAAAATCTAAACAATTGTGATATAAATTTGGACGGGATAAATGTAACTAAATAAGAGAAATCTTGTATTAAGTAAAAGTAAATATTAATGTTTAAATATTTTTGTAAATTTACACATCTGACACATATCTAATTTTGTAAACTGCGCGTCGAAATCTTTTTCGGTTTTAAAACGCAATAATAGTAGTAATATTATTTGACAAGCAATTTAATAATTTTGATAAACTTTTATATTAATTTCTTTTCGTTTTTAATGAAACTTGGTTTTGCTGTATTTTTCGTCGCTAAATACTAAAAGAATTTTTTGATGCTTGAACATATTTAGGTCGCCATCTTGAAAACTATGCAAAACCTCATTAATATTCTAAAATATTGATTGTACAAAAAAAGTGTCAGACAAAAAATAAAGATTGTGATATTGACAAAAAAGATCCTGTACATAATAGACGTATATTCAATATCTTAGTCGCCATATTTGAAAAACTAAAAACTAGGCTTCTATTTGACGTTCATGGGTTTATAAATTCTCATGCAACGTGCGGCTCCATAAAAGATTTCAACTATCCACACGAAGGGAGATATTGAAAAATAATTTAAGTTTATAGTTACGGTGGGGGGGGGGGATGCTCTTCGGGTGTATTATTCTTGATTATTAAATAATTTAGCTTATTACTTATTTAATATCTTTGTTGTTCGTATATTGGTCGCTACGTTAGATATGATGTAATAAGATCGCGATTTAGAACTTTTAGTAAAAAATGATATTTATATAAACGTATTAAAGACGTTCTCATAATGTACTATAAATGTACTACAAATGTTCATTGGATGTAAAAAAAGTGATGTTTTTACGTCTAAATTACGTCCGAATGTTCTCGGGACAATTTGGTACGTTCTTGGGATATTCATGCATATTGAACGAAAATATCTAAGACTATCCCTCGGACGTCCAATTATTGTGGGCTTCCGTAGCTTGAAATTTCGGGGCTTGGACGTAACACTTCTTTTTTATTAATTTGATTTCTCATTAACCTTTATATATTTATATTCTTTAAAACTTTAGATTTATATTTTTAAAACTAGTACTAATTATACTATAATATTTTTCGCAATAAAAGTTTCTTATTTAATTTAGGGAGGTATTCCCATACAAAGTCCATTGGACGTCCAAATCTGGTTTTATTTAGTTCGAACATCCATGGACTTAGTACATGGACTTAGTACAAATGTTTTAAAAACATGTTTATTCAGCATACAAAGTATGTTCACATTTGGACATTTAGAAAATGTTCATCTTATGCAAAAAATTTTCTAAATCTGCTCGCGACGTGTTGCTTTCGCTGACTCGACAAGTGAAAATTTTTTTAAGATCGCACGAGGAGTTTTACTTTTATTAGTATGTATGGATGTTTTTTGAACGTTCCATAGACGTCCCTAGGACATCAGTGCTATGTTAAAAATTTTCAACGAGAAAAAAATCTATAGTGCATACTGTTTAGGTACATCATGATCCATAATCCGCATCGTATCAATACGACGTACTATTATCGACAGGAGAGAGACTGTGGAGATCTCTAATCAAAGACAATATATATGATAACTGGTACTATAAAAGTGCAGTATATTTTCTAACCTAAAAATAGTCGTTATAACATTAAGATTAACTATTAGACAGTAACTGACTGGATGTTGAGTTAAACTGCACAAACTTCTATAAGGATCATATTGAACAGATGTATCATAACTATATATCCATGATTATATAGGTGTTCGTGGATCATCGAAGTACAGCGGTTTCCATACGATTTCAGAAGTCAACGATAGTGGATGGCGGTATGCAACCGGGTGACCATTTCGAAGCACTATAAAATTAATTCCCGAATTCAGGGAGAAACGTTTTCTTTTTTTATTATAATTTTATAATGTGTATTCTGGAATAAGATATTATTCAATAATAATACTCATATAAGAATCATTTTGTCTTGATTGTGGTCTAAAATTTGTTTAATATATTAATTTAGTCCAGTTTTTAATCCATTGCAACCTAAAATGGACGTTTTTAAGAATTGTTTTTAATATGTCCAATATGTATCCGAACGTCTATCATAATACGGTTTAAATATATTTTTAAAACGTTACTGTGCTATTAACTATCTGAGTTATTAGCATCTTAGATTGCGCGTGAAAATTTCTTAGATCTGCTGAGGATCGAACGAGTACCCTAACACGGTAGACTTGTGCGCTATCCATCATGCTACGCTTGCGTTCATATGACTGATAAAACGTGTTTAAAATTTTAAAGATTTGGAATCGTGAACAGGCGACGAAGTTATACCTTGTTTGTGAATGCAATTATAATATAATATATATAAAAATTATAGCATTATATAAAATTTTATATAATTATTGGGAGTGTGCATTAATTTTAAAGGATTTTCAAGATATGGCGTAACTAGTACTATCGCATCGGACCATATTGTTGCTATACGTACCTTCATGATCAAAGCCATCATGTGATTTTAGTTTTCAGTATGTGTTATTTTGCCGAAGTATAAACAATATTGTTTTTTTGAGCATTAAATATATCGAATTTTGTGCCAACAAAACGCAATTTGCGGGAAGCTTTACTTTTTTGCTTCTATTTGAAGAAAAGTGCTGCTGATTATACTTCATTCATTTCAACACGTAAGTACTTTCGACACTATAAAAAAGGTGATTTGGACACGGAAGACAAGGAACGTCCAGGCCAGCCGAAAAAATTTGAAGATGAGGACGTGGAAGCTTTACTTGATCAAGACCCGAGTCAAACACAAGAAGAACTTGCAGAACGATATTTTGAATTTTCAATTTGTAATCATTTTTTCACAATAAAGCCGTATTTTTACCAAAAAATCCCTCAAAATTAATGCACACTCCTAATATATTCAAAATTTATATATAATTATATATGTAAAACACTTTTTACCGGACATAATATTCTGCTTAGTTAACGAGATATTTTTAGGAAATTCGTAGGACATTTCTGTCAGGGCTATTAGGGTCCTTGTGTTTACAGAATGTTAAATAAGGATAAAATGACACATGGATGCACTCGGGTAAAGTCTCTAAACTCTATTTGTGTGCAAGCACGTGCGCCTGTACGTGTGTACAGAGTCTCCCAGCTAACTCGACCATTTGAAATATCTCATTTGGTTTTTATGATAGCAAAAAATGTTTTGAATGAAAGTGGAATTTGATTTAAAAGAGCACGTATTTTGATTATATTGTCTTTCTTCTAGATGAGGCGTTAAAAAGTATGAAGTTTACTTCCAGGATTGATAAAATGTTTAAAAAAAAAAGAAAACATTCAGTTTTTTATAAAACATGTTTTTAATGTTTTATACAGCTTTAGAAAAAAATCATGTTTAAAAAACAAAATAAAAACACCTTTCAAACATATATTTATTATATTTTATTATAACGCATTTTTACTTTCAAGTATTTTGAATCGTTTCTAAGGTACATTTTAATATTTAATTACACCTATTTCCTCATTTTTTTTAAACTTGAGCGTATTATCATGACTATATGTATATTTGAATGTTGTTTGCTATTTAACATTTTATTTGACTGTGTATATTTTAAGTTATGCAAATTTAAACAATAGCATGGCATTTTGCTAATGTGGTCCTTTATGCGTATTGATTATTCACGGCTTTTTTTTTTGAGATTTTTATTTCAAAATAATTATTCCTTAAACTAATTGTAATTCTCATATTAATTTATAATATTAATTTATTTACGTTATTATAGATTTTTATAGACTGCCAGTAGGTGTAATATGGGGGTTCTAACCCAGGTCCTCTGAGAAGAGCGCGGGGTGCGGGGGATACTCGTTGGCGCGGTGGGGTACTCGTTGGCGCGGGCAGAGGAAGGCGCGGTGGGGTACTCGTTGGCGCGGGCAGAGGAAGGCGCGGTAGAGGGGGAAGGCGCGGGAAGTCCCGGCGGCATCGCTGTAGTAGGACCCCAGTCGGTTGATTACACGCACGCACGCACGCACGCACGCACCCACGCACGCACGCACGCACGCACGCACGCACGCACGCACGCACGCACGCACGCACGCACGCACGCACGCACGCACGCACGCACGCACACATACGTTTATACGTACATTCATACATGTATATACGTTTATACATACGTACGTTTATCATACGTACGTTTATACATATACGTTCACACGTACATACATTCATACATTTATACATACATACATACACATGTTTATACATATACGTTTATACGAGTACATGTATTATAAAGGAAGGGAAAAAAGAAATATGTAATAAATACGTTAACATATTTTTATTTTAAAAATTCTTTTGCAACCACCAGTTATATATTTTTAATACATTTTGTAACGCGCAATTCTTAACATGTTGTCCACATCGCATAATATTAGTAACATCCAGATTAGTTAAAGGTTCGATGTCTTTGTAAACTGCATTCAAGGTGTCGATGTACATGCGTTCTCGCTCATCGTTCAGAAGCAAGGTCCACAGCCACGTTCG